TTGTGCGCCGTCGGCGTCAGGACGATCCCTCCATCCCTGGTTGCTCATTTTATGAAACTTTTAATTTAAGCGGTCGGGAGGAGGTTCTTCCTGTTGGTATTTACAACCTCGTAAGTGGCAGCATCAATTAATCTATTTCAGAGTGACTTACGTAGCTATGGAAAGAAAAAGAACTACTGCCCTTATTTTTTGGCTCGCCATGCCGTAAGAAATAATGACAACAACAGGATTTACTTTAGTTACTTCACGCGAACATTGTCGTTTACAGCTATTACTACATGCTTGATCCAAAAGTTGCAACTTATGTTTCGAACGACTTTCCGAAAAACACAGTTGTAATCTTCGATGAGGCTCATAATATAGGTGGGCATTTTATAGCCGTCGCTTAACTTATCATTCCAAAAGATAATGTGTGCATTGAATCAATGAGCTGCGTAATTTCTCGGCGGGCTCTGGATCGTTGTAACCAGGGTATTGAAAAGTTGGTGTCTCGTGTGGCAGAAGTGAAGCAGAATGATGCAGCAAGACTTCAGCAGGAGTACAATCGTTTAGTGCAGGGTCTTCGGGAAGCCAATGCTGCACGGGAAACTGATACAGTGTTGGCGAACCCAAGTAGGTCTCAATCATTTTAATTATCCCAGCTCTGCCGGATGAGGTTCTTACTGGAGCGGTTCCCGGATCGCTTCGAAGCGCTGACAGTTTTATCAGCTTTCTTCGTAGGCTATTGGAGTATGTAAAATTGCGTCTTCGTGTCGCGCACGTTGTGCATGAGACACCGGTAGCGTTTCTTAAGGACTGTCTTGAAAAGGTTTGCATCGACAGACGGCCACTTAGGTGAGCTCACTTTGACTTGAATAAACAACATTGATGGATGAACTTGGGTCTGTTTTATGTAGTACTTTCATCCTGTGCTATTTGAAGGTCCTGTGCTGAGCGCTTGCAGTCTATGCTTGATACATTGGAATTTGCTGACCTTGGACCTTTCTCAGGATTGACGCTCCTCTGTAACTTTGGTACACTGGTTTCGACGTATACCAAAGGTTTGCTTTGTATAATATCTTATTTTGCTGGTGTTTTGCACTTAGTTGTCGTAGCCTAGATTCTTAGTTTTTCCCTACTGATAATTAGTCGAGCCCAGTTTTGTAGGAAAATTGTTAAAGCTGTTCGTCGCATTGGGACTAACAGGTGTTAAGTAATGGGCGTTAGTGTTTGAAGTTTGCAGTTCTAGAGTTACTTTGGTCTAATATAACGACATATAGGCACTGTTATGCTTTACAAGTGGCAGGGGATTCAGTGAGGATAGAGTTCAGCTTTTTATGTTAGTGGTAACATGATTTACACATTCTGGTGGGAACTAATAACATTTGCACTCTAGGATTGAAAAGGCGCTTCAATCTCGAAGTGCTTACGATTTCGCATAGAAAGTTTACTAGTGCAAGCTCACCTAAGTCCTACTAATTTTATTCAGAGTTTCAGTCCTTTCATATTCGAATTCTTATGTCTCGAATCTATTTCGGTGCTTCAAATGTTTCCAGTTGCATTCCTGGTCGTTCTGTTCATCGTTGCTGATTTCCAGGTCGCTGAAATTCACCATTTTTCATTCTACAATTGTCAAAAGATGCTAAAATGAATATCACTTTACTTCATTCCGTTTATTTTAAATTGTAGGCTTTTGCGTGATTATTGAACCCTTTGATGAACGCGCTCCCACTGTAGTTAATCCCATTCTCTACTTCCACTGTATGGATGCCAGCTTCGCCATACGTCCTGTCTTTGAGCGGTACACTAGTGTCATCCTCACTTCTGGGGTAAGTCATTTGACCTCAAATTTTGTATGTCCCTTCTTTGTGATCTTTGCAGACCCTTTCACCTCTGGACATGTACCCACGGATATTGAACTTCCATCCGGTCAACTCCGCCTCTCTTACCATGACTCTGGCTCGCAATTGCATCTGTCCAATGGTAGGTCACCCTCGTCTCACCTCATTATTCTTAAACATGGCATTTGCTTCAAAATTACATTTTTCCCTACTGAGTCCTTGGGATTAAAAACATGACTGGTTCTTATTATTCTCCTTCATACCTTCGTTTAGCCGGTGCAAGATGTTCATGCGGTGTCTTTGTCAGTTTACATTTGACGTCTTTGTGTTGTGTTTAGTCGAAATCGTAATGCCGGTGGTTGGGACCACACTAAGTACTGTAAAGTATCTTTCCATGGCTCGATTACGTCCAAGAACCTGTCCTTTTCAATCTAGGAGTTTTGTGTCTTAACTCCATTTAATTGCCATTTATGTTGTTTACAACGACCTCTACTTAGAGGTGTGTAGTTTTAATGGGCAATTACCTGAGAACATAGGGCTTCAATCTTGAATGGCTATTACCTGTTGTTAAATCTCGTGTCTATTTTGCTTTGGGTCTACCGATAGTACAAACCATGGTTTTTAGTTAATCTGAAAAAAAACCTTTCGTGTTTTGAGGACCAAGTAAATTCTAGCTGGGGAATGGATAGGTGACTAGTTTTGACAACTGGAGCTATATCTCCCGTGTTTTTAGTTGTAATCACAGATATGCACTCGTTTTTCAGTTTCAAACAGCTACGTTTTGTGTCCACAGCCTTTCAGGCTTTTTTAAAGCCATTTAAAGGTTTGCTACAAAACTACTGAGAGGTCACCAGCGTACTCAATGAATACAGTAGAGTTCACTGTCCATAACCTTCGTTCCCATTAACAAGTAACCATTCTCTGTTGTAACGAGGTTGCCAACCCCGAAGTAATTGTTTATTGCATTAACTATTTGTCCAGCAAA